AGTAATACATTGTTTAATTCATGGCTATAGCTGAATATAAAAAATATGTACATATTGTGATTTAAGTGCTATGAATAACATTTTTCTATATATTTAAGCTATATAAACATGTACAAGTAAAAAGTCAATTACATCAGATTCATTTATTGTTATTAAATAACTCTCTTCTCCAGTTATTACAATTGTTCTCATTACAACTACATAAAATATTGGAGATAATTTATTCTCAATATTGTAACTAAAACTTGTGAACAAAATTCTCTAACATTTAGGTACAATTACTCAAGTAATACTTAAATTAGGTATTAGATTGACACTGGGTATTTCTTATTTCATGAATGGCAGACTTTGAATGGTAAATGCACAGTATGTATAACACCTATTTAAAAAACAAACAAAAATAATAGAAATCTTTCACCTCACATATAGAAAATAATAACTAGAATGTTAAGGGGTAGGATATACTTTGGGCATGCTGCCAGAAGGTACCAGTCCTTGGATAGAAGACATGTTTGAAAGGGTGGAGGGTTAGTGCAGGAGAAAAAGACCCTGGATGAGACAGATTGACACAGTGACTGGGACAATGGGGGCAGGTGTGCTAAAAATGGTTAGATTAGCTCAGAACAGAGCAGGGTTCAGAGCTATCATTCACAGAGTCACTATGAGTCCAGGTGATTTGAAGGCATATAACAACAACAACAATGCTTTAAAATAACTCAATACTGCATCCTGAAACAATGATTCTGGCATCATCCTTCAGTAAATTTTATAAATGAATTTTGTTAATATAGGCACATGGCCTGAGTATTCAATGATTCTAGGATATACTTTGTGGAGGTTAGTTGTATCTAACTTTATGCTATTTTCCACTCAATCATCATTTACTTAATTCTTTAAAGCTCTAGGGGTTTAACTCAAGGAGCACTGACCATCTAAACCAAAGGAAGCACTTCTCTAGCAGTTCGAAGCCACCAGCAGTTACTTACTTAGATGAAAGATAGGCAGTCTCATCCTGAATGATTTACAAATCCAAAAATCTGCAGGGCAGTCAGATAAGGGTTGGTTCTAACTCAACAATGATTGAGTGACTGGTTAGGGGGCCTATAATAAACTTGTGTCTCACTCTGAAGGACAGCAATATTAATTCCTCTCAATATTGACTTCTCAGGTAAACATATACAGGTACACTGCTTATACAGAGATGGTGGTGTTGTTATGTACCATCAAGTTGGGACTGACCTACAGCAGACCGTCCAGTGGGTTTTCAGAGACAGGAAATATCTTGCAGAGTAGGTGGTAGATTCAAATCATATGCATTTAGGATAGCAACATAGCTCCTTACCACCACCAGTGATCAAACTTGGTAAAACCAAATCATTTTGGACCAAAAATAAAGAAAAAAAAACCTCTCATCTCTCTTCTGGAAAACATTAACTGAATGCTATGCTAAAAATCAGTCAGAAAAGCATAGATAGTATACGTAGTATGTGTTCATCTACCAGTGAATACCATAAGGACTGGAGGACTAGTCCTCAGAGAAGGAGGTTAAAACATATTTTCAGTTTGTAATAAAGTTGTGAAATTTTGTATAATTGTTATTATGTTAATCTAAAATTCATTCAAAAGCATGCTATACAGATCATGGTAAATGCAGAGGTGAGCTGAAAAAAAAAAGATATAAAAGAAACCTAAAAGGCACTCTAATACTAAATATAAAGGTAAACTGGATGAAGAAAGTCTTAAAGTATAAAATTCTATACTTACTCCCATGACTAATATCCTCTAAGATAAAGACTACTGTATTCAATACACTTAATAATGTTATTGTTATTATGTATCGAGTCAGAACAGACCCAGAGCTGACGCTCCAGCAGGTTTTCACTGGCAGTACTAAGGAGGAGAATGGCCATGTTCCTCCTGATGTTTCTCCAGGGGAGCAGCTTGTGGATTCAAATCGTGTACCTTTGGGTACGCAGGACAATTCCTTACCACTGAGCCACCAGAGCTCCCTAATAATGCTGTCTACCATCGAGTAGGAACTAACCCAGAGCTGACCCTCCGGCAAGTTTTTAGAGGCTGTCAATTGCACAAGAGGAGACTGCTCTTCCTTCTCCCGCAAAGCAGCTGCTGGTGGTGGCAGCACAGCTTCTAGTCACTAGGCCACCAGAGCTCCCATAGTAACAACTTTAACTACATTTAAAATATACTATGTGCCAGAAATGGTGCTGGCACCACTGCTATGCACATGGGAAAGGATGCACTGTCTCTATTTAATCCTAGAGGTAAGAGGGGGAAATGAAGCTCAGAACTGTAATTACAAGTCAAAAGAAGCAGCAGCATATGGAAACCACAAAACTCTGGCATCAAAATCTGTCCTATTTCTACATAGCAAACAGCCTTTCTATAAAGTCAAGCAATCCAACGGAAAACTTTTCCTCCATAATTTTTTACTCTTTTAATGTTTCAGTAAATGATTGTCCATCTTTCCTTAGTCCTCACTCATCTGTTTAATACACAACTTTGTTACCATTCTGTTTCCTGGGTTGTAGCTTCATGTGTTTGTTGAGAAACTAACCTTGCAAAAGTATTCTAGCTTTTCAATGAGAAAGTATAAAACAATTTTTATTTCCCTTCTTATTATCAGATGTTACAGGTGTTGTTTAAAGATGACTGTCTCGGAAAAACTATAAATTTGAAGTCCCAATCTTTATATATAATATGGGGAGTGTGAATAATAATAATAATAAATAGAAAACTACCAGCACAAATGTGAACCCTGCATGTCTAAGTCAGATATTTTTATTAAAGAAAAAATTATTGTACTTCAAAACCCAAACAAGCAAAAACCAGGTTTTAGATGAAGGGAAAAAACCCAAAGGATCTTGTCTTCGGTAAAATTTTGAAAAAAAAAATAAAAAATAAAAACAAACAAAACCCAGAAAACTGTTTATGGCCTAATATACTAGATCCATAGTAAACATACATATATAGTGTATCTCCATCAAGTGAAAATTAATCACCTTTTTACAATTTAGAGAGGGAAGGTAGTGTTTAGTATGGGTAAGCCATGTATCATCGACACCATGAAGCAGACCTATCAGTTGTAATAGCTTCTATAAAATACCACAGAGAGATTGCAATAAGCCTAGAAAATGGGCTACAAATCCCAGCTATGTTCAAGCAAGCAGTGAACCAAAAATAAAAATAGGTAAAACTGAACCAAGAACTACATAGCACTCATCTAGATTCATGACTGGTAAGGCAAAGTTCACAGGGCAAGGTTTTAAAGTGACTTATTCATATCTAAAAGATCATCATTATCCAAAATAAAATAAAAGCATTTATGTAATGAAGAAAAGGGGGAAGGGGAGAATCATGAATTGCCCCTCAAAAGAACAGCACACAAATGCTTACTTACAATCAACAAGCACAAATCAGGATTTAAATGAAGAAAATAACCTACTACACTTAAAAAATAAAAATTTAAATATGCAATGGTAAAGAGTGAAAATTGCATTGTACCATTTTTTAATCTCTCCACCCTCAAAAAGCAATCTAAATGAACATCTGCCATATATTTCAACTCAATACATCTGAAATCTTTCATATTATAATAACTTTTTGCAAAGGCAACATCAACTTTTAAGCTTCTTTTCCAATGATCCTATTTAAGTTGGACATTAAATGCTGAATTAACAATCTACACAGCAATATAAAAGTCCAAGTATTAAATCACACTGTTGAAATCAGTTATTAGAACTTAAGAAAAACATTAAACTTTCTAATCATTTTGATGAACTCAAATGTCCTGAAGATAGGAACCAACTGTATTATCAATAAAATGTTACATTTTCTACCTTTTTCCTGAGATACAAGTTTATGCAAATAAACACAACACCTCAGATACTAAGAGTGACACATATGGTTTACCTCTCAGGTGATGTGTAAACAGCTATTATTTTAAAATCCAACAATATTATTAAAAAATCATACAGTCCTTGTTAAAACACTAGATTTTACAGGATTGCATTTAGATAAAAATCAAATATTATAATTTTGATTGACTTCCGCTATCACAAGCAGCACATAATTTTAAAAGTAATAGTAAATGATTCTGCTAGTGCAAACTAGTTGTCACTATGGGTAAGATATTTTTAATTATCACAATGAAAACTATACCATAAATACAATGAGTTTTGAATACAGAGCAGGTTTTCCAAGTAGAAAGCAAAACTAATAAAATAGGAACTCTAATAGAGATTATCAATCTGACTTACTCATTTTAGCCCTTGTTAAAATATCCTGAGTAAACCGCAAATATTTAAAATAATGTTGTTATATAAAACTCTTTTCAAAATGAACAAATAATGTCAATGCATCACATTTTTAAAATACAATAAAATATATGAAAATTAAAGCTTTAAGCAGTCACAATATAAACATTAAGGAACACTTAGATCAGACCTGAAAAGTTTTCCATTTTCTAACTTTTGGCAGTATTCTGGCAAAGAAGGCATTACATAAATGGATTCAAAGTTGTATTTTTTTTTGGAAAAAAAAAAAGAAAATCCAAAGAGAAAAGAATGTAAAACTTATACTCGTTTCTATCCACCCTGGGCCAACCTAGATGCCTAGAAAGCCTTCCCTATTCCTTTACTGCTGACTACATGGAAGAATACCAGTCCTCCACCAAAAACAGCCCCATCTTTTCATCAAAGGGGCTCTCACTTAATGATATTCCTCCAGGGAAGAGGACAGGAGCCAGGTTCCCTTGAATTTCATTCCCCAGATGTTCAAAACGTAACTAATTTATTAGCATTAGAAGATTTGGTTTACAGGGGAATCTCACTGGTCCAGTTTGTAGCCTATAAAAAAATGGATTTTTTTAAGTACAACATTAGAAAAGGAATAAAGGATGAGGATGTGGCTTTTTATTCCACAGAAGTGGGAACGACTCCTAACACGACAATTAAATAATCATTTAAAAAAAACATGCCTACCATTGAAGTTGGGGTCCCACCAGATTTTTTCATATTCTTTGAAGTCATCCCATGAAGACGACTGAGTCTAGCTTGGAAACCTGAAAAATCAAAGTATTCAATTTAGAAGAGTCTCCGATCACTGGAGCATATAAGAAGTCCCTATCAATATAGAATTAAAGGTATGTGGAAGGGGATGAAAACATGACATGAATATTAGTAGGGGAATTGCAAAACTCACACTCAAAAGCTCAAAGCAATGCCTAGTTAGGTTCTAAAGCAGTCAGCTCTCTGCAACCCACTGTTCAAGCAAGAGGTTATTATATGGTGGTGGTGTTATATATTGTTGACTTGGAACCGACTCATAGCTAACCCACCAGAGGGTTTTCAGAGGCAGTAAATCGCACAGGAGGACACTGCCCATCTTTCTCATGTGGAGCAGCAGTTGGATTCAAACCATGTTCTTGACTCCTTATCAATAAGCCACCACACCTCAGGTTATTATATAGGATCTTTCTTTCCTCCCAATTCAATTTCAACTATTTGAATATGTCTTCAATGGGGCTAGCAAGAACGTTGTCTACATTGCTAATAATGTGAAACCATGATAAATGCAGTAGAGCATAGTGGCCAACACACTGACAACTTGGGTTTAGATCTCTTAGGTTTCATTTTAGCCTCTCTTCCAAGGAATACTTCTGGATAGACCATAAAACCACTGTATCTAACAGGCAGCGTTACTGACCTCTTCTGCCTGGATGCGACATTAGGGGGAAGGAACCAGTTAAGATACTTTCAAAGACAGGATCTGGCACATTTTTGTCTAGCTCGGTAGGATCTTCCTTTTCCCACCAGGGAATGACTCCAGTGATACCACAGGCTCCACCTGATTCCTTTTCGTAGAACCAGTCACTTTGTTCATCGTCACCTATACAAATACAATAACCCCCCCCAAAGATTTTTAAATATTTGTTTTAACATAAAACTTGAACTTTTACTTTACTTACAAATACTTGCACTAAAAGTTACTTGTTATATATCTGAAATTCAAATTTAATTTAGCACCCTAAATTTTATCTGAAACTCCTACACATTCATTCCATACCAAAACTTTACTTCGGAAATACTTTTTAAACAGTATGACAAGCACTACCATCAAGACCCAAAATGAAATCTGTAGACGTAGTTTTAAACTGTGAAAACAATAATAATTGGCGGGAAACCCATGTAAGTGGCTACCCTTTCAACATTAAAAAAAACCTCCAACACCTCCCAAAAAAACAAAAAACCCACTCCAATCTCCTGCTGGGAATTAGATGGCAAAAAACTGTGGGACTCATTCTTCACAGCTGATAATGGTATATAATTAGCTTAATTTCATGATTTGTAAGAAGTGGAAAAGGGGAAACAATTGGCAACAGATGTGACTAAATGAAATTAATCTGATTAAGTTCATTAAGAAAAAGTTTTGAAAAAGTTGATTTCAAATGAAAAGTGACAGTACAACCAAGTTGATGAAAAAATACCACTGAAAAACTTTCATTTTACTCGTACTAGGAAGATCAAATAGTAATATTAAGAATATTAAGATCAAATAATATTTTCTATTAATATTAATAACAATAAATATTTTATATTTTAAATAAATATACAATTGTATATAAGATATACAAAAGGTACAACTGTATATAAAATATACAATATTTTATATCAATATAAAAATTAAGAACCAAGGCTCTAAAGGTAGATTAATTAGAATCCTGGTGTTTTGTAACACTAAAGAAACATTTATTTTAACTCTAAGAGCCCCAGTTTTGTTCCTTAAAAAATAATTTCTGGCTATTAAAGAAAAAAAATTAAAGTCAATGAAATCCAGGAAAAATTACATAGCAATGTGAACTAAACTCACAATGGGGGGAAAAAGTAAACTCACAATGAAATCTAACTTACTAATCAAAATCATTCAACACTTTTCAAAGGCTTGTCAAAAAGGATTTTTTCAAAAAGGTTATCTTTCAAACTGTTTACAAGTTATTTCATAACAAAATGCAACAGTTTTTGAATATTCTCAAAATATAATCTTGCATAAAACATCTATATTTAAAGAATCACTCAGATACTCAACATTATCAATATACAGTCAGATTCACTACTGAAATGCTAACATTATTTCAGTAAAGTTTACTGAACTTTCAAAACATCTATAGTTTTAAAACCAGTTATGTACCTATTTACCTAACAGGTAAACAGTTTATAAGTAAACAAAAAAGATAAAGAATATGAAAAACCATGATCCAATTATAGTATTATTTTGTAAAAGAAAATAAACCATCTATTTATTAATAATTCAAATAATAAGCATAGTTTGTTTTTCCCTTAAAACTTATAGTGCTCAAAAGGAAAGATGGTATCTGTGGTAATAGTATTTAAGTCTCTCTAAGGTTTTCATATCCTTTCAAAGAAAAAGCAGCTATAAAATATTTCAAGTGGGAAAAGCCTCAAGAAATTTCAAAATTTGAAAAGATCTAAAACTTAAGTAAGACATGATGCTGAATTTATGCAAAATGTCTAATTACATGAATGCTAGATAGGATGAATAAATGTCACAGTTGAATGAAAATTACTTGCCTATCCACCTTTACTAGTGTTTAAACAATTTTAAATACTTCTGGAGTCAAGTGGAGAATGAGAACCAGTGTATTTCAAACTTGTAAAAAGGGAACAAACTGAAAAGACTAAGAGAAGGAGGTAAAGTTTTTCAAAGGGAATATAAGCCTTCCTTAATATTAGCTCCATATACTGGCATTTGGAGACGGTAAGCAGGTTTAGTTATTTTAAGATGTGAAGAGAAGACAGCTTTCATAATATGTGAAAGATCAGATACAGTACCAAACCCTAGTTGATTTATGTGTACAGTCATCAATTTAGAATATAACTAGTAATAAACACAAATACAAATGAAGACATTTTCCCAAAGAGAGTATGTAGACCATTGCTGTACCTTGTCTTCCCTCATCATTGGTAAACAAACCAGCATCAGTGCTGCTGAGACTGCTGGAATCACTGTAAATAAGGAAAAAGAAAGAAACAGATCAAAAGAACAATTGATCTCTCAGTCGTAAAATTTTAAAGAGACATGGCAGCTCAGGGATGGAACTTTAAGCTTGACAAAGATCTGAAAGAAAATAAGATGATTTTTTTTTTAATCAAACTGCAAATATCCAGGTTCCATTAACTACACAGCATATTATTTTTGGCACATAAAACCACAGGAATCTAATGGGACCCTGACAGTAAACCAGATGTGACTGCAACGAGGTACTGACACAATTGATGCATTTTATTATCTGCTTTCATCAAATGCTCACTGCTCCTTTCTTATGCCATGCAATTCAGCTTGAGCCTTGAACACCACTGCTCAATAAAATGGAAAAGGTCTCAATCAAAAGCAAGCTAAGCCTTTCTTCAAAACGTGAAATGTAAGTGCTTGGGGATGAAATCACTTTTCATAGCCATATTTGCAAATATTCTAGAAATGCTAATACTTAAAAATTCACAACCCTAATACATGGCAAGGAAGAAAAAAATTGTTAACAACAATCTAGGAAATTAAAATTATGGTCACTCTTGAGTAAAAATGGACTATGATTAATATAAGAAGGAGTGCAAAAGAAACACTTCCAGAGAAATTCTAATAAGTCAAATTTAACATTTTTTTTTAAAAAGCAACTATTTGATATGAACTGTCACTTATTAGTGTTAATTGCAGTATTACTTATGTGAAGTGTTACATCTTTATAGCTAAAAATATCTTGGCTGCAAGGAATATTCTAAAAGCTCTGTTCTCAAAAGAAACTTGAGTTAGCTTCCTTAAAAACTCTCATGTATTTTCTTCTTACTAGAATCTTCATTTTCATCAATCACTTAGTACAAAAAGTATCAGGTCGTTAAATGAGATGATGAATAGTTCAAACCCACTAACTTTTTCTGTGGGAAAAAGATGGGAAGTCTCCTCTCATAAAGATGTATAGGGTAACTATGAATCAGAATTGGCTCAACAGCAATGCATGTGGACTCTTGGTGGGCTATACCATACAGAGTGCTATAAACTAAGAAACAAACAGGAAAGAATAAATGGAAATGAACGGTATTCCTCTTGAGGGAAGCACTGGTGGCTTAGTTCACAGTGACTGCTAACCCAAAGGCTGAGCCTCTCTGGCAGTTTGAATCCACCAGAAGCCCCACAGGAGAGAGATGGGCAAGCTCCTTCCACATGATTTGCAGCTTTGGAAAACCAGCTGGAGGGTCAGCTATGAGATGCTGCCAACTCAATATTTCTGAGTTTTGGGTTACTGGCTTTTTAATTGTGATAAACGTACTATTATGATATAAGACATTAACAAGTGGGCACAGAGTATATGGGAATATGGCACTTAAGAATTCCTCAAACTGTTTTTTAAACTTAGTATCTTAAATGTGGCGAAATCTTCAGCTAAATGTAATGCACCGATTTTTAAATGACAAAATATGAGGAGTATGAGAAATCCAATTCCAAATCTGCTATCAAATGTAAAGACTGGCACATGTAGTATAGTCCTTCTGGTGACCCTCACCATCTGTTCAAGGGAGCCGGATCTCCAGTTCAAACGGCACACCTCCAAATGTGGGTTTCCCATTATCTCTTCAGGATGCTGACCCTAACCCAGTGGTCCTGGGAACCGTCCACACTTCTAATCTGCTGAGTCTGCTATTTCCTCAAGTTACATAATTTAGATAGAATAGTGCTCGCAAAAAGGGTAAATATTAAGAAATGCACAGGGTGGGGACTGAGTGGGCTGCTAATATTTATAGGCCCCATCCCAACACAGCCACATGTGTAAGTGTCTTCTACCAACCAGGATGCCCACGAAGCTTCCTTGTCCAAAGATTCATTACACAGATACATAGCTAAAAGGGATAAAAGCCCTCTTTCCTTGATGTTAGGCTGACGGACACCAAGTCAAGGTCTTCCCATCCAGGTCAGTGCTACCCTAGAATCACCTCATCCTCAGGCAGGATCCAGAGGGTTTATTTGGGGTTTTTTTGTTTCAGAGGTCTTAACAATAAAGACACTAATCACAGATAGAATTCCACTGTTTTGAAGATTATTTCTCAGGAACCAAGGTCAAAGGGTCATTTCTTAGGTAAAATTAATTGTAATCCTGTAATAGATAAATTTATATTTAGAAAAACTATTTCATGATTGATGGTGAAGAGACTGAGATTGTTAACAGCTTTAGTTTGCTTGGTTCCACAATCAACACTCTTGGCACCAGCAGCCAGGAAATGAAAAGACGCATTGTGATAGGAAAGTCTGTTATTAGGGACCTCTCCAAAGTACTGAAGAGAAATGATGTCACTGTGGAGACTAAGGTGAGAATGATACAGGCCATGGTCTTTGCAATCCCTTGTTATGTGTCAGAGAGCTGGACAATGACTAGGGAGGACAGAAAGAGAATTGATGCCTTTCAGCTGTGGTCCTGGAGAAGAGTATTGAATATACTATGGACTACTAAGAAAACAAACAGGTTCATCCTAGAGAGGGCCAAACTAGGCTGCTTCTCTGACATATTTTGGTCATGTTGCAGGGAGAAACCAGTCCTTGGAAAGGGACATCATGCTTCGGAGGGTGGTGGGACAGCACAGAAGAGAAAGACCCTCTATGATGTGGACTGATTCAGTGACTGGGGTAATAGGGGTAGGTGTGTCAGAGGCAGTGAGGTTGGCAATGGATAGAGCAGGTTTTAGGTCTGTTGTACATAGGGTCGCAATGAGTTGCAGGTGACTCAACAGGACATAAAAACACAACATCAATTTATAAAAAATGTAGTCAAGAGTAAAAACACCCTCTTAGAAAACTAGGGCCTAGGCTATTTGCTGCAGGGTAGCCAGGACATAGCTAATAGCTACTCAAGTATTTCTTTTCATGGGGGGTTGGGGACCCAAAAGAGTTTCAGCACCTCGTCTTTCTTGGAAAGATGTCCTAAGAAAAAGATCAACAGAAAGATAGAGGGGAAAATAAAACAACCAAAACACAACAAAATACTAGAGGGGCTTATACGATCAATCCAGAAAGCAGGTAATTTAAATGTAAATAATCCAGAATGAAGTAAATTATTTTCCACTTCTGCATGATTACTTTTAGGTCAGGCTGGGTGGTCCAAGAGTGGCATACAAATAATTCTCACTCAGGTATAAAGATGGCAAATTTGGGGGATTAAACGCAGACATAACAAACTTGTTCTAAGACTTCTTGAGACCTATAAATATATACATGTTCACTTCAAATAATTTTTACTTTAGAAGAAAAACTAGCCAACCATTTCTAAGGAAAAGCACTTTTAATATATCTCTGAAATCATATCGATAAACACCTCCCCAAAATAATTACTAGATCTATAGTTCACAATTGTTTTAAGATTAACAATGATGAGAAAGTTAAAAATAAAATTCACTTATCCAGACCATTTTTAATGACTTACTTTTTTTCCCTGGAACTTGGTTCTGCATTTGGTTTTAAAGACACATTTAAAGAATGAAAAATGTCTGAACTTTCCCTGTTCCTACAAGCATCTCATCTCTATCACAGAAAAATGGTCACTTATATTCCATTGTTGTCAGAGTAGGATTAAACAATTATTGTGACAGACCTGTTTCCCAAGATGTGCAGACTGGGCCAAAGGCCACTGCTGCTTCTACTTTTCGAATGAGGAGATTAGATGTTTAAGACTAGAAATTAGGTCTTAAAATTTTAAGTGATCATCAGAAATCCTAGGAAGCTGCGGGCTTTTGAAAATATCTAAGCTACACTCACGTAGTGGTGGTCATCAATTTTTATTCTCAGGAATCAGAGTGGGCTAATCAATCTTGACAGTTTAAAAAGGACCGAAGGCTTAAGCTCGATAATGAAATAATTAAGCGCAGGCATACCTCATTTTTTGTGCTTCACAGGTACTGCATTTTTTTACAGACTGAAGGTTTGTGGCAAGCCTGCCTAGAGCAAGTCTACCAGTGTGCCAATTTCCAATATGGCATGCTCACTATCTCTGTGCCACCATATTTTAGTGATTCTCACAATACTTCCGACTTCTTCAGAATGCTATTGTATGCTTAAAAGGCCTACAATGTAGTGGAAACTTAAGTCTTTGTTTTTAGTGCAATAGAAAACAAAAAAACTTGCATGACGCCCTGTACTGTGACACTACTTGCTTTATTACAGCGGCTAGAGTTGAACCTGCTGTATCTGAGGTGCTACAAACATGCTGTGATTCAAATGCACATTCTTCACTGAAAATCCATTCCCTTTCTCTCTGTAGCTGAAAATTGAGTCACTACACCAGCACCAAAAGACTATATAAATCACATAAGTAATTTTGTTTTATGCTAAACATCATAACTATAAGGACATATAACCTATAAATAAGCAGTAATATCCCTATCATTGTAATTTATAATTCTTTTTAAATAGAACAAAAAAAATTCATAAAACATAGAACACACTCAACCACAATCACTAAAGACAAACATTTTCATATTGATGGAATGTTAAAAGTCACCTTTCGCTCATCAGCTCATCTGACACTTTCTGCTCTTCGTATTCCATTTTGTCCTTATTGGTCTGGCTTAGCTCCTCACTTTCTAAAACTACTCCTTCGTCTTGGGTTTTTGGTCCTTGTCTGATTATTTTCAACCTCCTTTTCTTCACTTTGTTTTTGGTATACTCTGGATACTGGTAAGCCTTGTCGTCCATGTCCTGATCTCTACAAGCCTCCAGGGGCTGGGTCATCGTCCGTTTGCTGGAGATGTCCTGTGGCAGATCGACTGCCATGCGCTTGACCTTCCTCCTCCGGCGCAGGGTCCTGTTCCCAAGGTTGTCCACAGCAAGGTCAGACTCGTGCCACAGTGGTCTCTTCCCTCGAACATTATTGTTTAAGTTTGACGATGGCCTGCGCTTTGCCACTAGCATTTGGTCATCAGAGTCACTATGATCCTTTTTATTATTATTGTGATTTTCTCTGTAGTCCTTGCTGGGTTCTTCTAAACTGGAATCAGAACCTTCACTTAAGCAGTGGCCAGTCTCCCACGGGTGATGAACGTTATACGACCTGCGCTTTCTCCCTCGCCTCTTTCTTGCCTGCCGTTTCAGGGGACATGATAAACTCCGAGAATGGTCTCCAGTTTCTGCAAATCCACCTCGAGCTTGCTCCGAGCTCTCCTCCAAGGCAGAGACGAGGTCATGAACCAGTTCCTCCATGGTTCGACTGAAATGCCTAATTTTTTTTAGAAAGGGATGAAAAAAAAGAAAGAAAAGTAACATTAATCACGTTTTCTATGGTATTGAGGAGGCAGCCTTGGAAGCACTTGGCTCAATCAACCAACCAACCATCTAACTGCTAAACTAAAGGTCTACAACTCAACCCATCAGTAGCTCCCAAGGAGAAAAGACCTAATAACAATCCGCGCCTGTAAAGAACGTACTATTAGAAAGTTCTACTTGGACTTTTAGGGTTGCTATGAAGTGCAATCAGCTCAACAGCAACTACAATTTGAGGAACAGCAGACAAAAGACAGTCTAAATACAGCTAACTTTCGTGTTGCTGTGGTGTTACATACCATCAAGTCAGAACCAAATTATAGCTGACCCTCCAGGAAATGCAGTAAATCACAAAGGAGGAGATGCCCATCTTTCTTCCAAGGAACAGCAAATGGATTTAAACAACATGCCTTTGGGATGGCATCACAACTCCTTACCACCAAGCCACCACAGCTTCCTAACATTGATAGTCATTACAAAGAAATGTGGAGGCATACTCTGGCATGCTGCTAGGAAGTGGTATTCTTTGGAGAAGGACATGATGCTGGGAAAGGTGGAGGGTCAGTGAAGGAGAGGAAGACCCTCAACCAGGTGAATTGACATGGTAACTGCTGCAGTGGGCCCTTGTGTGTCAGGAAGTGTGAGGCTAGAGCAGGATAGAGCCGGGTTCAGATCTTTTGTTCACAGGGTTGCTTTGAGTCATGCTAAACCCAATAGCATCTAAGAACAACAGCAACAACAAGCAAGATATGATATCAAATGTCAAATTCCTTTTAAGTCCTCTGTTCTTGGATGGGTTTTTAAACTAACATAGGAATAACTTCTAGAGAGACAAAGCTTAATATCACCAATGAAATATCCCAGAGTTTTTAAAACTTTAATTGTGTAAGTTGGGGGAAGTTCCTTTCTGCTTAAATCACTGTTCCTTCATTTCTTCTTGGAATCTCTTACAGGAATTGCTCGCAGAGGTACAAGATAACTTCCCCAATATTCTCTATTATGTCTACGTAGAGGAGGAAGCACGAATGCATCTACTTAAGGTACTGCCATGACAGGTAGAAAGACAGATAACAGGTACTGCTAATTATGTTTGTATTTTTTAAAAGATAGTAAACCCACTACGAGAAAGAACTAGTCATTGCCTCCCTAACACACTACTGTTGTTACGAATCCTTGAGTTGGAAGCCAACTCATAGCTGATCCTCCAGCAAGTGTTCAGAGGCTATAGATTCAAATGTCTCAAAGACAATGAGGATGGCACAGGGTAAGACAGTTTTCAGATCTGTTGGTCACTATGAGTCATATTTGACTCAACAGCACTTAACAACAACAAAGAGCATGAAAGAGACTGCTCACCTTTCTCCCTCAAAGCAGCTGGTGGATTTGAACCATGTGTCTACGGGTTGGCAGCATTAACTAATTATCAATGTTGTCGTTAAGTGCTGTTGAATCGTAGACTACTCATAGTGACCCTATGAACACTTGTATAACTTTCATCGTTTTCTCCAACTTCATAGGGTTTCTGGAGACAAGCTATTTCAGAAGTGAATGCTACTCCTGCTTCCAGGCTTGTTTAATCATGGAGCTTCACCAAACACCATCTGCCACCGGTAACCATTATCACATTTGACACATCAATGTCACAGTGTTCAGCATCACAGCAACCATGAGTTATGTCTGCACAGCAAATGGACAGACCAGTGTGCTATGCCACTTAGAAGAATGTTTCACCAAAAACATGCTATGCCACTTAGAAGAATGTTTCACCAAAAACAATTAAAACTTGGTCTGAGGGCCGCAGAGTAAAATCACCCACCTTGGCTTGGTAGCATCACTTTCTGTCTACTAGGCCAAAATTTCCCTCTTTTAATCATTATACCTTTAAAACCCTCTGTAGCAATCTGTTGTCAGATGGGATCATTATAAGTCTAAAACTGACTTGTTAGTACCCAACACTCAAAATAAAAGGCAAGGGCCCTTAGATACACTTCTGGCCTGGAACTGGACTTGATTCTGCGGCTTCAACTTTGTGCCAAATAGGCAGGCTCACATGGCAAATAGTATTCACAAAGAAGTGCACCTTCTCCAGAACAAACAGGATCTGAATCTATCTAGGGATAAAGCTCAAAAACCGCAAAGGCAAAGGAAAAGATGGATGGAAATGGCAAACACAGCAAGAAAATGAAGAGAGTGCTGATTCATTGCAGGGTTTGCAATTAGCGTCACAAAGCAGGTACAAACTGTTCCATGGAAAATCAATTTGTTCTATAAATTTTCAGCCATCTCACAATAAAATATTTAAAAATAAAATAACCACCAGATCTGTACATGGTCCAATAAGCTTATACCCCAATGAAACAGAAACTGAATTCCCATTTACACTGTAACCTTACTGCCTACAATGGCTCATCATTAAACTTACTTATAAGTCATTTCAAAGCAATTTCTTAGGCTGCTTCTTGTCTGTCTGATTTTGCCTTTTTAAAAAATAAATAAATAACATAAAAAAGGCTAAAATATATTGCCAGCAAGTGAGTTATCCACTAACTATCAATGGTATTCATTAGTTTCTTTTGACAAATAAAATTTTTTAAATTATACTAACCTTTACCAAATTCAACTCCGAATGGCATGACATAGGGTCTAAGCAACTCTTTTTATTTGTTAAACTTCACAGGGGGTGCAAATATTCAAATTTTCTATAAAGACCGTAAAATACCAAAATGTGTTCCAGAGACCCCTACGTGTTTTCCAGAATCTACTGCAAGGAGTTCTGTGGCACAGTGGTTTGCATATTGAGATAGGAACTGAAAGGTCAGAAGTTCAAATCCACCAAGTGTTCCATGGGAAGTAAGATGGGTAGTCTCCTGTACAACTTACAGCCTTGGAAACCCAGCTGAGGTTGTCGTGAGATAGAATCAACTCGCTGTTAGTTGGGTTTTGTTTCTAGCAAAAGCAGGTACACATGCTGTAAAAGGCCAAGTAGTAAATATTTCAAGCTAAGCAGACAAACTGTTTCTGTAAAGACTGCAGATGTCACACACTGTCAGTCAGCTCCCAGTCACTGCTATCTTATGCACACTCTATATGAAACACAATAAAAACCTGTCCATTCTTGTTCCAGTCTCACATTTTTTTATTGTTCTCAAGTTCATTGTTGGCGTAACTGTATGAGGCAGTTCTACTGTTTGTAGCATTGCTGTGGGTCAGAATATTGGGTTTTTTTTCCTTTTTCAAGTGTAAGCTGGCCACTGTATCTTAGTAGTCAAATAAGCTAGTGCAGGGCAAGAATAAAAATAGACAGCACAGTACGTAAGTGAATGGAAGTAGTGGTATGGCAATAAAATAAAATAGAGATGATGAGTCAAAGTCCATAGTCTCTATAGAGTCATATCTAGTTCCCTTCCCTATAATAACTTTCAACTTTGTCATTTTATTATCTGAAAATAAACACACAGGATGATTCTACTGAATCTGCTATTTATAATAAGGCATTTTATATATCTAATCCATTTCATTCTCTAAGTTATCCTAAAAGAATGTACAACAAGTACACAGAGTAATTTATCACCAGGACTCATTTAGTACTAAGACAATATTTAAACTTGAGCAATCCAGCTTCATGCTTACCTAAACACAGTTAAGAAGAACTTTGCATTTACACTATGTTTTTTGCAATTTTGTTTACAAATGATACAGAATCTACTCTGGGCACGCAACAGGAGCTCTGGTGGCCTAGTGGGTAGGGTGTTGTGCTGCCGATCCAATGGTTAGGCGGTTCAAATCTACCAGCTGCTCTGTGGAATAAAGATGGGCAATGTCCTCCCCTACAATTTAGTCTTAGAAAATGACTGAAGTGTCAGCTATAAGTCAATTCTGATTCAATGGCCATGAGTTGAGTTGCTGGGGGTGCAATGGTTAAAATGTTTAATTATTATCAGAAAGGTTGGCCATTCAAATCCACCGTTTGCTTGATTGGAAAAAGGTATGTTACCTGCTTCCATAAAGACTACAGACTTGAAAATCCTATTGGGTCTCTGTAGACAGAATTCATTCACAACAGATTTAATATCACTTTTATTAATATTCATTGCTGAGGCAGATTTAATCCAGTCAAAACCTAATTATTTTCTACTTTGAATACTATTTATAGAAAATATGTGCTTTCTTTTTTTCTGCAATATTTAGCACTTTTTTGTTCTTCTGTATTTTTTTATTTTATTAATTTTAATGAACACTTACAGAGATTTTGGATTTCCACTCATTCATTGTTGCACTTTTCTCCCTGCAATATGTGCTTTCAATAAGCCATTCTGAATGAAGTGAAAAAAATTTGAGGGAATAAGTATTTTGATACAACGTTGGTTGTTATGTACAGTCAAGGTGACTACAACTCACAGTGACTCTATGAACAATGGTTCTGAATCTTGGTCTATCCTGGGCCAACTTCACTTTCTCGGACACACCTAATCCCACTGCCACTGTCCCTGGGTCAATGCTTCTCATCTAGGGTCTTCCTCTCCTGTGCTGACCCTCTACCATGGTACACATATATCTCTGGTTGGTGGAATGAGGCATGTTTCTCCATATCCATGTAGTTATGTATACCACCACCAAACCACAGCTTGTGCTACAAGTGGTATATAAGGTTCCCATGAAACCCTAGAAGCAGAAAATGTAGGTTGGTGTTGTATGTCCCGTGAGTTATCAAAGGGTTAACAATGGTCTGCATGAGAATCAAATGAGTCACAGTTTATATTTAATATTGTAAAATAAAAAAAAGAGTAGTACATGCAGTGAGAGTTAGTTGTTTTCAAGAACAAATGCTATCGTCGTTAGTAAAATATACATTTCACTTTAATGTGAGTTTGTACTTGGAAAAGTCTCTCATCTTTGTCATTCTGAATGGACAATAAAGAAATAAACCTAAATGTGTACATTTTAGAAACAGAAAAG